GTTGATACGTACCTGAATTAGTAACTATATCGTCTTGGCCCGTATTACCAGTGTCCTCTGGCATTGCCAACGTATGCTGGTCCATAGTCCCACCGTACATGGGTATAGGACTATTCATTCTGGATGGTAGCCCATCAGGACTGAAGTTTTCATCTGCTGTTGTAGTTTCTTCCTCTTTTGATACATCTCCCTCAGTCTTCTTATCATCCTCGCTAGAGAATCTAGCTATCATGTCCCTAAACAATTGCAGAACCTTAAACTCCTCATCTTGTTTTTGGTCGGCATCATCTTGCGTATTCGTGTTATCCGGTTTTTCGTCCTTATCCGCCGTGTCTGCATCCATTTTCTAAAATTGATTTATGATCGGTGTTAGAAACAAATTGAACATATTTTTATGAATATGTATTATAGGGCTTATATAGTAGGCCTATACTTGTGTACGTTTTGTTAACATCCAGTAACAAATTCACTCTCCCATACCCAATCACTGATACTTTGAAATTGAAATCTGTCCCTACAACTTATGCTAATAAAACTAAACAAATTAATTGCTGGACATTCAATAATGGAAGAATTATTAAACTTACCGGAAATAAAGTCATCGGTACTTTAGTGTTACCAATCCGATTTAATAAAATATATTTCGGGAAGGCATTCCGTTTATCCTTCAGGAAGGTTTTAATGCGGACATCCCATGCGCGCAAAAGAACGATTTGAACGAAATATTTTAATCGATTTTTGTTGACACATAAATGATTTCGAAGGGCGGAATGATTACAACTGCTGCAGCACAGAGGTGTTTTCGGATTATTAAGCGCGAAAATCGATTTAATTAATTGTTGATTTAATCTGGATTTAGCCAATCTACAAATTATGAAGAAAGGAATGGTGTTTTGAAATCGTTTATGCACAGAATACCATACCGTACCACTAATCTTTTCTCAACAACATAAACACAATGTAAGCGTAATTGCGTCATCAAATATGGGAACAATATAAATAGGCATAACTATAATATGGCTATGTCTAAGTAATTATACTTTATTATTTTAGAATTATCTTATTTTAAATAATGCTTATGACAAGATGGACCACCTATCTTTAGAAGATATAGCCCTAATCCTGCAATAACTAACTGGTGGACGAGAGCCTCTGCATGCTGACTCAGCAAAGAGCAGTCTGTATTGATTCTGTCTGGTCAAATTCACCTCTCCATCCTTTGCGTTAACCTTGCCTACCGCTTGCTGATTTGCATACTTTCCATTACCTTGTTTCTTTTTGTCAATTAAGATATGTAGGCCTATTTATAGTTCCATTTTAATAATGGTATAAAAAGTATCTTGTGTTCTTCCTAGGCCTAAACTAGTCCATAGTGCCATGTTTATAACCTTGATTCGTTTGACATTATATAACGTTATTAGAAGTATGAAATTCATTAATATACAGGTCTACTTTTTAATAAAATGAATAACAAAATTGATGTATCATACCAATACAGTATGTTGTGTACAAATCAATATACATGATTGCCACATTCAAGATTGTTAACTACCAAAGTCGTCATATAATTGTATTTATTTTTCAAAATTTATCTTACTTTAACTTAAAACACTTTCATGTTTATATTTTGTGGTTATCTACATAATTTTTCTTCTTTTTCTTTAAAAGCTAAAGACATTTATTGCTTTCCATAATAGTGAACCTAAATCGTGTTCATATACTGTACTAAAAACCCATTTTACATTTGCACTAATATTATGATCTCTAACCATACACCATAGTGTAAGCATACTATTAAACGTTTTTTTTTTTTTTTAAAGTCTTGTTTTGCTTTATTTCTGGATTTTATTATATGTTA